AATATATATATATATATATATATATAATTTGATCGAGAAGTGCATCTTTATGCTAATGAATTAATGAAATCAGGAACATTTGGTTTGGGGGAGACATGCAGACCTGGAGTGTATTCGGTGGAGATGTAGGGAGACTGTGGCAGCAGTGAACATGCAAAGTTCTGGGCGTATCTACTGTAGTCATCATCAGTCTGCAACAAAAGATTTAATTATTGTAGTGTCCCCAAAAAAATATAAAATAATTAGTCTATCTTCACCACTAATTTAACCATTTCATCTTTTTGTAACACGTTAATTCTATTTCAAATAATTCTTTCTCACTTTATTATTCATTAGAGTTATGTCTAATTGCTCCTAAACCAAATGATTGCATCAAAAAGTTTCATCTTATCTACATTACTATTTTGTCCACACTTTTTCTTAGTCTCGCAACGTTCATATACATAAAGTATAACTAATTAGTTGTACATATTATTCTTTAAATTATCTAAGTATAACTAATTGTTCGCAATGTTCACAAAACCCTTTCTCATATTATGAAATCGCCAAAATCACCAGTTGAGTGTTTTTTGAAATTGCAATTATCTCAAATCGATTCAAACAATCGTCAAAAGCTTTCTAATTTTTTTCTGATCTCATTGTTTCTCAACTTCCATGATATTTTGTGTGTTCCTAATAAATGGTTGGATTCCTAAATGCCAAACCTTCTGCATCAGTAGGAGGAGGATGTAGTTTCCCGCACCCTTATCGTCCCATGAGAACTGCCAGTCGTAGCCATTAACACCAAGCTTCGTCTGCGTCTGGATCTGCTGAATGCCATGGATGATATGCTTCGTGTAATCTGAGCTGTTGGTAGCTCTGTTTAACCATGCTGCTCCCCACACCAGCTCATCCTGAGAACCAGTAGAGTTGACAGTGTCAGATCTCCAAACCCTAACGCAATTACTACCAAGTCTTTTGGAGATAGTAAACCTCATAGCCACTGATATCACAGTAGAACGGGCACACCCATTGGCCTAAACTGTCGGAATATGAACCCTGGTATCTGTAAGCGAAATCGTAGACCTGCACCAAGAACACTCATATAAATCTGCAGTCAAACATCTCTAAAACCAAGATTGATTGTGTCACCTGTTTTGCTCTCGACAGCAGTGTGTCGGCATAGGCAGGATCGGATGATCTGAAAGCGATGGAGGCAGCCGCCAGTGCAGCGGCTGTCTCGCCGGCGACCTCGGAGCCTGGGTGGGTATCGTTCACTTGGAAGGATGGGCGAGGAGTGTCCATGTCCTCGGGCCTCTGCCAGCAGTTGTGATCACTGAAGGGTTCGCCTGATTGGACGAAGACCCTGTTGGGTTGGGTGGTGGCTTTCAGCAAGTAGTCCGTAAGCCACCGCAAAGCCTCATGAGCGTGGACCAACTCCGGACCCATCTCCGCCGAGAACTCGACGATGCTCCACGCCAACACGGTGCCGGTGAACGCCAAGGGGAAGCCAAACTTCACATTATCGCCGGCATCATAGTACCCGCCCACCAGATCAACCTATCATCAAGGCAAATGCATCCCTTACACTGTGAAGGAGAACGAGTCGAAGAGAAAGGACGTAAGCACAAGAAATGTGGTGGTTCATGCAACGCTGCATCCATACACCGGCATCTTGCCCATCTTGTAGGCCGGAGTCCTTCCTCCAGGTGACTCTTTGCGTGGGTGGGAGCTTCCCGGATCTCTGACCTTCATAGAACAGCAAACACTTGCTCAGTGCATCTGCGTAGTTCGGGGGCGGCCTGCTTCCTGCAACTGCAGATGGCATCATCCACGCCGCCATCGATGCCACCAACATCAACAACGCAAGACAAAACCTAACTCTCGTCGCCGCCATCTCACCGACCGATCGAGTTTCTACTGCACTATGCAGGCTTCCGACTTAATTGGGAAGCGAAGAACACAACCAGGGGAGATAGATAATCGCGCATTCTTGCGCATCGGATCATCATATATACACACCGACGCATTACTGTAACGGTAAGATTACTACATTTAGAATGTCTTACCTAGATTCGCCAATACTCCACGTGTGCCAAACAAGAGCAGCATACTAGATTTTGGTTCTTGACTTTTCATTATTATTATTATTATTATTATTATTTTGGTTTATATTGGATAAGTGCATATTTGTTGGTCCAATTTGGAATAAAGTGGTGATTACGATAATTGCACGTAATATGGCGGCCTTCGAACACACTTCAAAAACTTGCCCACCGTAAACCTGACAAAAATATAATTAAAAGCGGTTTGCTGAGACTCTTTTCTGTATTTGTTATTTCATTGTTCTCTGGTTGACATAACGCGAGTTATCCATCTTTCTCAGCAGTTTAATGATGACACTTGAGTTTGGACATTCAGCCCATTTAGAGGCACTTCGATGAATAGTATCTACAATTGCTTAGGTAAAGGAATGAACCCTCATGAGAGAGCTGACAGGGTTGGAAGGTGGTTTGACAATTAAAAGTGGCTCCCAAAGTCAAACTTTTCATTTGAAAGTGCTTTGGGTTGTCCCCATACTTTCTCATAGCTTTCTATCATTATTCATGGTATCATTATTTCTTTTGTTTTTTTGGGTATTTACTTGGGGCATTCAGAGAACTTGAAAGGACAAATATGCTCTCATCCTTTCTATCTTTCGGTCTTCCTTATTATTGAGTCCAGTCTTCTCCCTCTTAAACTAAACCCCTTGTATCCTTTCCTTCTTCTCGCATTCTTCTTTCTTCCCCCGTCGCCTTATGGATTTGTAGCTTGCGTTTCCTCCATGCTTCTTCATCCGTCATCTCGACCAAATCCATGGCCAAGTCATCGCCTTTTATCTCTTCCGATCTTTGACACTCTCCTCCCTCCTCCGTCGCCTCTCCTCACATCGTTCTCTACAGTAGCATTGTCCGGCTACGACCATAATGACCTTCCAAGAGAGCTCCCTTCACTTGCTCGAAGACATGCTTCAAATAGGTCTGAAGCCCAATATTTTCACTTACCCTATACGTCTTAGATTCTTGCACGCACCTTCAAATTCCGGCTACGGTAAGAAATCTCACCTCCACGTTATCAAGGTCCGACATGATGCCGTCGCCTCAGTCGCCAGCTCGTTGTCGACCTTTTCCATGAGATGAAATCGTGTTGCCTCATCATCGACACGGAATAGATTTTGATGGCATGACTATAAAGACCGTAAGACCGTGAACAGAATCATCTCCGAACTCGTCAGTTTTTGTGATGTAGATTCTGTGAAGAGGCTCTTCGATGATATGCTTCGGAGGATGCCACTGAAGGACGCGGTGTCATGGCCTCAATAATAACCAGAGAGTAGGGCAGAAGACGCACTCGCCGGAGTAGGGGAGGAGACATACCACACGCATTACATTGGATGAGGTGGGGGACGCAACTTGCTTTGTCGTTATATGGTGGGCGAGCGCGACGCTTCCGTGAAGTGAGAGCTGCCGTTGGATCGAAATCCGAAGGTTGGGAAGATGTGTGTATTACCTCCGTGACACGTGAACTGCACGCGCTTTACTTGTTATCACTCGAAAGTCACGTGCTCGCGAGAGGCAGAGCCTCGTCTACGTCATCCGTTCCAGTCTGGGTATTTGATGATTACCCTCTATTTGCGATCCATCCGTGTTCTCGATTGCTGCCTTTGAGATCCGCTTTATAACATATGGACGGCGGGATTGCCGTCTCTCTGTGCTGTGCTGGAGAGGCCCTGAACTCGCCGAGTCTCCAACACAACCCTAACTCTTTAGTCTCCTCCATCTCCTGCCTCTCCTGTTTCGTCGCCCTCCTCCCCTTTCTTCTCCTCTCGTCTCCCCTCCTTTCTCGTGATCTTCTCTCTTCGTTTCTCCTATTACACGCTGAGGGACTCGCTTGGGATCTTGCTATGCCCTAACTCTTTCCTCGTTCACACGCTGCTGCCTCCGCCTTCCCTCTTCCTCGTTGCACACCGTAGCCGTCAAAGAACTGCGAAGGCTACTCTCTCTCTCTCTCTCTCTCTCTCT